CTAAAACACTTGTAGCACTGCATCACTGGGGCAACGAATGGTCTTACCCTTAGCACTGCCAGATCGTTGAAGAAGCTAATCTTCTCTCTGGGTTGATTCCCCTTGAAAGTGATTATCACTGAATCTACCGGTTCGAATTCTACCTTGTTCTCCTCTTTGTTCCATCTTCTTCTCATCATCCTTTCTATTCTCACTACGTCCTCTGGTTTTGTAAGTAATTCATAGAAGTCCACGATTGTATCAAGGTATAATGGTACTACCCCTTTGAAGCATGTATCACGATCTTCAATTCCCGCTCTGTACCCTTCTTTTTCTTTATCCTCATTGATCTTCTTGATAGCATTATTCGCATCTATAGGGTTTAAAAAAATAGTGTGGCCATCTTATATCCATTCATCATTATACGTTTGGGAAATTATTTTTTTTTCTTTTAGCATATACATGACCTTAAAATAATTACTACCTTTTTTGGCTGCGCCTGCTCTTTCCATTATCCTTAGTGTCACTTTGTAATTACTGCCGAAATTTTCTTCGAATTCTAATTTCCTACTAACCTTCGACGTATCTATCTCACTAATATGCTTAAGTACACCTTCCTCCCTCACGTATATTTCCTTCTTTCTTTGTTCGTTACTCATCGTTACGTTATTCCTATTGTTCGCCTGTTGCGTCTCGATGCTTCTTGCTGACTGCGTTCCTTTGTTGCAGTCTGCCGTTACTACCATATCTCCTTCTCCCTCCGTTTCCATCTCCTCCTCCGATTGGTCCTCGTTCGTATCACGTGCCTTCCGGCCACTCGTGTTGCAGGTTTCTCCCGCGCTCTTCTCAGTCTGTAACAATTGCTTTCTCGCCTTCTTCTTTTTCCTATCTACTGTCTTCCATTCCTCATTTCCGATCTCATTATTAGTCGCATCTATCATCAACTGGTCCAGCGTGTCTTCCGTCGCTGGTCTTTTTCCTTTATTGCTTTCTTCGTTCATTTCCATATTCAATCTTGCCTCGAGTCTCCTTACTGTTCTCTTAAGCGACTCATTCTCTCTTATTGTCAGACTTATACTTCCTCTTCTCTCCTCGCTCTGCCCCTCACCCGGGGGCTCCTCGTAATCCCTTATTTCTTCTATATTGCACTTATATTATTCACGTACCTTATTATATCCTACTACTACGCTTTGATATATATCCTTTGAGCTCTTAAAAGAGCTGATTTACCTATTTCGAGGGTATAAAACACTAAAAAACCGTCAGACACCACTCGAACACGTCCGCTTCCTTCAAACCGCCATCTAAACGCTTTTCATATGACTTTTCTCGTACTCGCGAGGTTAACTATACAGGATATCTACTGTAATTAGGATTATTGCAAATATACTAACTGGATGTTGATTAATTATATCTTTTAATCCCAACTACGATCCGCTAATCACTTGAACATTACTTCGATAAATCGTGATATGTGTTCACTGCCTTTGTCTCAACCTGTTTTTAACCCGGGTTACCCTCTTGCCTATATAAATGTGTATACACGCAATGCCACAAATGGCACGTCGATATCTCGATGTGATATACACGTGGTATCGATACCGTTTCGATGATAATCAAATTTATATATTGTTTTTTTTTTATTTTATACTCGCATTAATAAAAGCGTTGCAAAGTCAAAAATCAAAAAGTCATTGGAAAATTATTCGAAAGGCCAAAAGTCAAAATTGTATTCTACGAGAGAATATGAATAAGGCTCATTAATACCTGAGAAAAAGGCTTAATTTAGGACTAGGACTATATCTAATTTTTTCTTTCGTATTTGCATATTCATCTTATTCGTACCATTTACGTTCAAGTTTATTTGCAACGAGACAGAATCGTCTCAATGCAAATAGACTTGAATTCCAATAAACGGAATATATTATAAATTATATTTATACAATATATACATATATAGTATAACAAAAGAAACATAGTTGAATGTATAAATATAGCTGCAAAAATAAAATATTCAATTATTAAAGAAATAAAGCATTTATACAAATAAAATTGTTAATTTTATATGCGTGATAAATAATAATCATCTGCAAATAACATTTAAATGCTGTATCCAAAAGATTTATATTCATTTAAAACTTTCGAAAACAAGGAAAGAAATTTTCCGCATAATACTTTCTGATCTAGCTTGATGTCAAAGATATATCATAATTATCAAATAAAATTCAAAACAAAATTTTTCAATAAATTTCTCGGAAGAAAATAGCCACCATAATTTTCAGTACATTGTTTTTCCATTAAAGGAAAATTGATGTTTTTAAAATTAAATATGTTAAATATGTTTTAAAATTAAATATTCTATAAATTATTTAAGGACATAGCTTGACAAAAATATAATAAATTTTTCTATGTACACTCTCGACTGTATTTTTTTCCAAATGAATAATTTCTATCTTTAACATAAAGTAACAGTAAAATATTACATTAGTTACAACTTTTTAGCAATGTAACTTACATACAATATTATATTATATTTATATTGTTGTGGAAAATAATATTGTAATATTACTGTTAACACTCTGTTCTTTTTTTAGCTGAATCTTTTCTACCGTTCGTCTTCTTTTTTTTTCTTCAACCTAAAGAAATAAAGAGAAAAGACGAGGAAAGATAAACCGTGCAAAAAGGTTTTCAGGTAAAGAAAACAGGTTTAATTTTTGTTTACTAGGTGCAAGGAACCTAACTATTTCCGGAAAAGCGACTCGATTGGTCGCGCAGGTCGCTTCTTGGTGCGCACAGCCTACAGTGCCGTCGCGCGTGCGAGCAAGGGCCATTTAGCGTCCGATCACCGTGGTGACGGCGAGCACGCAACGACGACATCGGACGAGCCAACTGACTCACTCACAATCCAAACAGTCGTCGTCGTCGCCGTTTGCTATTTATAAGCGTGTGCACGCACGATGGGTCGTGCGTTCGCCTGTTTTCGCTACTGCCTCGTTGCCGGTGCAATCCTCCTCGGCGTAAGTTCATCACTATGAATCCGGAATCATCGCGATCAATCTTTTCCTAATTTCGAGATCGAAACGCATCGCGTTTTGCGAAATCGTTGCGACCGGCCTGATTCTAGACGATTCTAGACGATTCTAAGCGACAAATTCGGCCTTCATGCGAGGAATCTTTGTCGCGTAGCCGTAGCTGTCTTTGTTTTAGCGTGTCTCAGGTAGCGATCCAGTCGGCGTGCTATTATTATGATCGATCGCGCAGCTGCCTGCCGTTCGGAGATCGCGCGTGCAGTTGGTGGTGTTCCGTTCGGGGAGCGGCGCCAATCTGTCTCGTAATTGGTGTGCGGTGATGATGATATCGGGATGGGTGTGCACGTTTATGTCCTTTTTCCGATAGAAACAAGACCTGATTATTGAAATGAATTAAAGGGAATTATCAGAGAAAATTACACTGTTATTAAATTCTTATTGGGGATTATTATGAGTTGTCGTTCTTCAAGGCGCAAGTTGTTTATTTCAAAAGCGACCCGCGAACGTAGTTCCTCTCGTCAAAATCAGTACTTACGCTAATGAATCCTTGAATTAAATGAACGACTACATCGCGGTTTATATAAAACTGAAGTTGCGTCTTGCCTTCGAAAGGTAAAGACTAAGCGACTCTCACGTAAAAGATTAATAATGAATTTGTTATTAAAAATTTGAGACAATATCGGGAATATTTTTTTTATAATATTACATCATTATATAATTTTCTAAAAATATACAGGGTTCTCTTCTCCCACATTATATGTATATTAAATCAACTTCACCATTTGATGTTTTTCAGTTGTCTAAACAAAGAAGCACTGAAATTTACGATGCATGATTCTTTTTGATGATCTATATGCAGTGATTAATGAAGAGCAATGAGAGTTGAAGGAGACACTAATCGTAATTGCGGAGCGACCTTAATTAACGTTTTATTTCGTTATAATTATAAAAATATTGTTAATTTCGTGACAACAGTACTATAGTTTATCTTCTTTTAAATTTTAATTCGTATAACATATATTTTTTTAGACGTTATTTTAAGTTCGCATGGTTTTATTGAAAATTATCTAAAACACACATTTATCTAAAATACACGCGTTCCGAGATTATAAAATTAATTTGCGATAAGATAAATCCCTTGCTCTAGAATCGACAGAAATAAAAACTGTCAATTTTTATTAATTCAAGCTATCTATCTTTGCGATGTTAGTGCGATAGTTTCGATAGTCGTGATGCAAAATTTATTTTAATCTAGTTATACAAGCGTATTCACAGATGTATTTCACAAATAAGATTTCGTCTTCTATTTATCTATAATAATTTCCGCGATAATGATTTTTATCATCACTATGTATTTGCGTTATGATTTCAAAGAAAAAAACGATACGTGCAGCTCCGGCAAATCGATTTTTATCTCGATGTTTATTTCTGTACAGAATCATGATGCTCAAGAAACGATTAAAATGTTATCGTAAAGCAAAATATTTCTACAAATAATATTATCATTATAACGAAATCTTGCAAAGTATAAAAATAATCATTAACTAAAATAGTATAAGATAAAAATATGGTACAAAGTACTTGCCGGGAATATGAAAAAGATTTTTCCTTCTTCCGCAGATTTCTGGTGCGGTTATGAGCGTTTTTGCCAGTTACTTTATTTATCAATTGCACGAATATGCGCCACTTACACCTGATCGTGTGTGCGGATCATCTGCCACCTTACTAGCGATGGGCGTTATCACATGCGGGATCGGCTGGTTCGCCTGGCAATTCCTGGATTTTTCCAACAAGGGGCAAGTAATGGTTGTAAGTTAATTTCTTAGATTCTTTCACGAAAGAGTTAAGTTTTATACCTTTATAATATGAATCGTTCGTTTCTATTCAGTTTGTCGTAGCACTGGCGATCATCGTGCTGATTGAAACTGGTGTCGGGATTTGGGCCTTGGTGCGGCACGAACAAGTAGATATCTTGTCATCCGCGCGACATGAAAAGATCTTTGCCCTTGCCGTCACGGATGAGAAATCCACTTGGGATCACATGCAGTCAATGGTAATAATTTTCTCTTTTAGGACACCGCGTTTTATTCCATTGCTATTACATTTGCCAGTAAGCCTTGTTGCGTGATAAATGTTTGCGTCTCTACAAATATTAAAGTAAGTCAGCTAAAAAACACATAATATTACACGTATTATAAAATAAATTTAATTTCAATATTTAATATATTTTAGTATTTAAATATATTTTAGTATTTTCAATTATCATGAGCCTTAATTTATTGTTCCTTTTATTTAGATTAACATTTATACTAAAATAAGATTAAAAAATGAAACACGAGAAAAAATAAAATTAATTTAAATTCGATTAATTTTAGTTACAATGCTGCGGAATAGATGGACCTTCCGATTATCGTGGCGTGGACGCGATTCCTTGGTCCTGCTGTAACACGACGAATCTTGCGAACGATAACATCACTGAGGGTATTTGCACAACCATAAATAAACGTGGATGTCAGCACGTGGTATTGAATCGAACAAGATCGATCCTCCTGCACGTATTTCTGCTAGCATTATGCTCCGTACTCCTACAGGTATGTACTTTTATCTTCGTATATATTTATCTTTGCAGTTCAATCAACTAATCGACTGGCATTCGCGCCAATTGATTTCAGATTTCCTTCATAGCGTGTCTGACTTGCTACGTGAGAATTTACAAAGACAGAATGGAAAGGAGAGTATCTGAGGTGGTCAAGCGCATGTCCCTGCAAGATATTGGGGAAAAAGATACTAAGAACAACCTTCTGACACGTCCGAAATATTCGCGCACTTCTGACAATTCCTAGCTAATGTTACGTTTCGCGAAGGGCGAAGATACGTGTCACCTAAGAGCATTGCATTATTGTGATATGCGAAGTACGTTTCGCGTGGTAACAACATCAACGATATACAGGTACACTAGTGATATTGACATTGCTCCAATTATACAAGATGTTCCAGATTTTCTATCTAGAAATACTTTAGCGACAAATTCTTCAAGATGATTTTGCAATACATAATTGAGGAAAAAGTTATTCGGTCTTTTTCCAACTTTAAATTGTTTGAAAAACAAAAGTCAATTGATATTTTTGTTAAAGTCGATCGAAAGGAATTTTTTTAATGCATTTAGAATATTTTTTAAGATTATTTTTTATCGTTTTGTCTTTCCTTTCTCGTCATACAATTAGATTTAAAGAAAGCGTTTTCCTTTTATATTCATCAAGAAAGATCTATCTCTAAAGTATTTTTCAATTCCGCGCTTGAATGTTCTGCATAAAGAAAAGAACAACAATATTCTAAAGGTGTTAAAAAAGTTTGCATCTTTACTGCCTTATTGCCATTTCATGAATAAATAGGCGATTCTTATTATTATAACGACATTTTTTTAGTATTGATAGTTTTTTTTTTATTTATGTTCCTAGCAATGCCAAAAATTATGATTTAATTCAAGATACGTAGTTTTATCTTATCATACACGATTAAAGTTTGCGTTTACATTTTTGAGGCTTTTAATTTAGTCCGTACTTAACATTTCTTTTATTGTAGTCATTAAATAAGTAGCAATCAGTAATAAGTGCACAATGCAATTGCATAAATTGCTATAAATAAATTCTGCGTTTTATACGATCGTAAAAACTGCAATTTATACGATCAACTGACACAACTATAATAAAAGCAATAAAATCTAGATATGTAGTATGAATATGTCATTCTCATATCTTGCATTATTCAAAAACGTTTGGACGGATTTGGATTAACTAAACATTCAGATGAATCAACTAGTACATATATATATATATATATATATATATATATATATACATACATACATGAATATATTGTTGTCAGTTGAATGTTAAAATAAATACCTTGAGTGGATTCAGACCTGTCTTCCCAACTGAGATACTTGAGAAATCAGAATTATTTTCAACATACGACGAAAACGTGACTTTGATGATAAAATAAATAATTTATTATTTATGATAAAACAAGAATTACAGATACTACATATAGAGTACTTATTAGTCTATGTTTTTCCTTGAGATATTGCGTTGGAACTTTTAGTCAACACTTGAGCTTTTTTTCAAAAAATTTAAATTTTTATTACGCAAATTTCGTTTTCATAAATCAGAGATTACCAGAAAAGAAAATAAAAAAAATTTAAATGTAATTACTAACAATTGTATATATGTAGCACTTATGGAATTGTGTATATATATATCCTGTATGTGTTTACACGATCTTATCATTACATTAACTATTCACTAGCGTACTTACGTTCGATAACAATAGCTTCCACGTCTCATATGGCGTGTAAAAATATTTCACGGTAACAAGATACTTAGTCCTTTTCATGTACACTTTACTATTTTACACTCTCTTGAGATTTCTTTGTTAGATATATCCTTCTCTAAATCTCTTCTTCAAAGCTCATATTTTCTTCTTCCATCGCGGGAAATCGCCACCACCTTGACTTAAATCTATGGCAGTAAGCTACATATCGGCATCAGTAATGTAAGGCCCACTCATTTTCCTGCAGAAAAGTATCGACTACTTCTTTCATCGCCAAGTTCGGGATCAGCTGATCCTGCGTCAAACGCACACGAGTGACTGGATCAAAATGACCAACCCGTTGGAGATGCTCTTCAATATCTTTCCGTTCATATGTAATTCCACTAGGTGTAATCACTGGTTCCTGCAGAATCTCGAAGCTGATCTTACCACACAGGTAGTCGGGCACTTCTCTTTTCTGCAAAACATATCATTCATATTAAGGATTATGAATTGTTATTATATATAAATTATAACAGGATTAATAAGATATAATCAAAGCATATTATTAAAGCTATAAATTCAACGTATATAAAGAACATGATTCTAAGAGAAGTAAAAGAGATACAAACCCGCCTTCTCTCGTCAACTTTAGCGAAGAGATCATTGAGTCGTGATATACAGGCATCTCTCTTTTCCTCAATCTCATCTTTTCTTCTAGCGAATTCGGCTGAATTTTTTTCATCGGAATCTTTTGCCGTTTCCTGTTCTTGCAGAGTCGCTAAATTACGCTTCGCATCGTCTACAATCAATTGATTCAGATAAGTCTGCAGCTCGATATCCTGAGAAATCCTTTGCTCCTCTCTTATTTGGAATCGACGCTTTCGAGCCTGCCGCAATACACTGGTGATGTCATCGCCATAGTTTAGCTTCTGTTCTTTTGCCAAGTCTACAGCTGTACCATTTATAAAATAAGTATAAGTAAAATTTGTATTAAAACTTTATTTCATATTTAAAAACATAATAAAAAAATGTGAATTTGTTTTCGATATGTACCTCTTTGCAGATATTTGACAGCTTCATCAAAAAGCTCCAATTCCAGGAGGGCAAGTCCCAAAAAGAAATGACCTTTCATTAGACAAGGATCTATATCCAAAGCCCATCTGCAATCTTTGCACACGGATTCCCATCGTTTCAGCTTTAAGTGACACAATGCTCGATTTGTATAATACAATGCCTGGCCTGGATTCTTCATCTGACAGAAGGAAAGTTATTATAATAAAAAGAAAACAGGATAACTTTCGACAAAATTTTACTTTTATTCTCATCTTGAGGATTGATTGTGATTCATCTTGATACAAGATGAAAATTAAAAGTGAGAAAATTTATTAAATTGAGACGTATGAAGTCGCAGATATTCTAGTGAATTTTCTCACTCTTGTAATTTTCGCTTCGTTTCAAGATACACAATCAACCTTCTGGCGTATATACGATGGACTTTTATTTCTTGACACGTATTCGAACAATCGGATTCAAAATTTCCCTCGTTTTTGCCGAATTCTAGTTCTAATACCGACCGCTAGGGGCACGATCGTGCTGTTATCGCTGACATACTATGCGATTCGTGATTCAAAACAAAAAATATCTCGTCGCGATGACAATCGTAGCGAGCACAAAGTAGGTGCACGTAAGATGCGTGACAATTCAGAATCACGATTCACGATCGCGCCACATTGAGCACGCATGAAAAAAAGTCATTGTACTCACGATCGCTTTTGTGTAACAACTGGCCGCGTCCTCGTATTTATGTAGATCGAAGAGACGATTCCCTTGTTCTTTTAGCTCCTTGTCCGACAGGTTTGCCGTCGAATACATCTTACTCATGATGGCGACTGGTTGTCACGTCGCATGCACGATCAATTAATTTCTTCTCTTCCTCTTTTATTTTTTGCGACTGAAAACGCACGAGGGCGAAAGTGGCTACGACACCCTTTGTCTAACCTCAAATGGACGCCCGATATTTCATCTTTGTTCCGTCCACAGTTTTCAATCTGACGCTAACCTAGACAGAAAGTCAAATGTGTTTGCAGTTCGATGTGACTGCCATCTTAAGAAGATCTTAAGAAGATCTTTCGCAAAATTTTGTTATTCTAGAACATTATCGAGCGTGCGCTTCGCGCATATCATATATCCCCTAATGTTCTCTTTACTTTTCATTTGATTTTTTTATTAATTTATACATTTAGCAAATATTATTTATTGTTTATCAATAAAAAAAGATAGTATAAATATGCACATAAGACAAGTATAAATATGCAGTATAACATTTCTCTTCTGATTTTTCTATAATTTTAAATGTATATTTTCATGCATAGAATATACATATATTTTGACAAGAAAAACCATTGCAAATTTTTTTAAACTTTCAGTTTTTGACTTTGATCTCGTTGGTGATTTTGATTAGAAAATAATTTTTAATAATAATTTATAACTGCATATTTATATATATTTTCTACTTTTTAATTAAAAACAAGTTATTTTCTTAATTTATAATTTAAATTATAGCAGAGAATAGTTTGAAAATTTATTATTTTTACTTTTTTTTATGTGAGTTGAAGTTCAAAAAGCTTTGAAATAAAAAGAAACGAGACTTGAGCGATGATTTTCTTTCTCAGAATATGTTTTATGCATGAAAATGCATAAATTACAAAAAAATCGGAAAAGAGAGCTTTATATTGCATATATCAAAAGGTAATATATATTTGTAACAAGAACTTGTAACAAAAGTTTTACAAAAGAATTTTGTAAGACTTATTTGAAATAATTTTGAATATCTAAAAGGAAAAGAGAAGCTTTATTGTAAAAGCAAATGCTTAAGGGGATGCTAACCTCGTTTATATTTTTCGACAGAATGTAGTATTTTTTGTATCTATCTTTTTTTAAGTAGTTTTGTATCTATCTATCTTTTTAGAAGTAGTTTTATGTAATATCTTTTTTAATAAACTTAGACATTTTTTTTCATAATTAAAGTATTATGTATTAATATTTGTCTATATAGAATTGTCAAGAATGAAAAAAATTTATATCTTTTTTATCATTTGCTACTTTAATACGGTATCCAGAGCTGTCAAGTCGTGTCAATATTAGCGTTTTATATAAAAATTATCTTATATCTATAAAATTAATAAATTACATAAAATAATACATTATAATAATAAATTACATAAAGATTATATGAAGGAACAATATTGAATTTTTAGCCTTAGATGTTTAATAATACAGAAGTGTACACGAAAATTTGTTCATATGTGTAACAAACAAACGTATGAATGTATGTATGTACATATATAAAACTAATATTTATGTATGTACATACATAAATATACTTTTACGTACATAAATATTTATATTTAGTATTTATGAATGTTTAGATATGTGTGGACATTTTCATCGGAATTCATTCGTCTTTTCAGCATCACTTTAAATGTAGCAACATTATTCACATTGAGAATTTTTTAAACTTTTATATCTCAACAGTAATTTTTAAAAACTAATTTTATTTAAAATAAATATTTGTTAATAAGGCATGTATATGCACATACATACATTATATTATTTATATGTTTATACTATGAGCAAGCTATTGTGACATGAAGAAAGTTACTTACGTACTCATGCATCAATTATTTGATTATAGAATACTCCAAAAAAGTATGAAATAAAATATTTTCATATAACTCGTAATATTCTTATCCATGATGACAATTTATGTAAAAGATATTGAGCTGTTATATAAAATAATTTTCATGCTGACAGTTACTTTCAACACAAAATAAGCAAGTTAATGAACAACATGGAAAAACAACAATTAAATCCTACAATTAAATCTTGTACAAGATCATTTTTTAAAAAAAAGAGGAATCTATTTTATTGATAGTAGATATAGAACTAAAAGCAAAATTACCTTTGATCAGATATATGTTGCTATGAGTGTCACTAGATGGCATTTCAATTATACATTGTAAATTTTTTTAGCAAAATTTTTTTAGCAAACGTATGTCTAATGTCTATTTTCATCAATGTAGATTAATTTTAATTTTGATTTAATTTATTTTTTATTTTGTTCTAAAGAGAATTTTTACTTTATAGAATTAGAAAATGATAAAAAGCAAGTTAAGCCAAAATTAAAATTAATTTATATTAAGAGAAATAGACATTAGTAATCGGCGGATATCGATTTAAATTCACCCCATAGTACGAAACCTGAAATCTTGCAATTTTTGAGGATTACTCGTGGAAACTTAAAAATCCTAGGATTCAGAAGAAAAAAACTCAGATTAAAGTACGAAGAAAGAAGAAAGAAGAGTATAGATATTTTCCAAGCTTTGGCTTTGAGCTTGCTACATTTTAAATTTAAAAATAATATAGTTGGCGACATAAGCAATCATTTCCAATTTATATATAAATTCAAAAACAAAAAGATAATCTATAAATGCCAAAGCGAGATCCGGCCTTACATCGAGGATCGCTAGTATTTTATTTTCTCGTTAAAACTTTTTTTAGTAAAATAAAGAATTAATGATTCAATATTTTACAGTAGAATGTTGCACGGATACAAGTGGCACAGTAACAAAATTCATCGAACTCACTAATCAATTATCAAAAATGATAAAAAAAAGTAATTTCCTTATTATAAATAATGAATTTCCAAATAGCTACATGTATATAAAACGTAAACGTATCTCATTGAATAATTCTAGCGATAGAGACTGCGGATAATAAAACTATTTCTGCTTTTTCGATTTTTTTTCTTTGTTCTTTGTCTCTTTGTCTTCTCTCTCTCTCTCTCTCTCTCTCTCTCTCTCTCTCTTTCCGCATATAATAGATCCACATATTATAATATCGGATGCGCGAAAGGAACGAGCACCCTTCATTGGACGATGGCGCGTGAATCCGTCTCGAGAACTCGTCGGCGTAATTTGTCAGGCATTCAGTTTGATAACAATACGGATCCGATAGTTACATAGAGCGGTAGGGACCCGTGAGACTCGAAACTTCGCGGCGTAGCTAACTAGGACGGTGTTGTGACGGTGTAACCCAGTTCGTCCGTCCGTCCGTCCGTCCGTCCGTCCGTCTGTCCGTTCGTTCATTCGCTCGTTCATTCGAGACTTCAATTCCGTATTCTTCTCCGTACTGGGACGGACAGAAGTTGCTGTCGTTTCTGCCACGACTTCTTGGTGAGAAATTGGAATTGGAAGTAATCGCGTTAGTCGAGAACGTTCGACGTTTGTTAGTTGTTAACGAAACTCGCGGCTTAATCGAATTTATCTGACTGGTTCTCCGACTGCCGACCGATCGGTCTCTCCTCCTCCGCGTGGGGGGGGGGAAACTCGGCCGGGGGTGAGGCGGGCGCGATCGGCAGCCGGAAGGGGTGGGACCGGTCAGGATTTATTAGAACATTCGTGAATTAGTTCACACGCTATTAATCTCTGGATTGTACGAACCCCGGTCTAGACCCGATCTGCTCGTCGTCATCAGGATTTAACCATTGACCACGACCTTGCCCCGTCAGGAGGCTCGTCTGGAGGCTATTAAGTGTGTCGATTTGGATTACGGCGGATTACAACGCGAATCGGATTCGCTTTCGTGTTGAAACGGTCGCGGACCGTTTGGACCTTCGTTGAGTTCATCGTTACTAATTTACACGTGGCACTCGGGAGCAAGAGATCGAGATCGAGATCGATTTGAAGAATAGATTTTTAAAAGATTATTCGGGGATGAAGTCCCCGCCCGTGCGGACTTATCCTAAAAATATCGGAAAAAGCTCTTTTTGACAGTCGTCATTTTATACGATAGGGTGCGTTGCACGCTTCTCGGAAAGAGACCGAAGATCACGCTGCCGAGCCGCTGTTCTTTCCTTTAACCTTTTGACAATCGAATCTCGATTATCTTTCCCCTTAAAAAAACCGTTACCCCTTAATTCCAGAAAGCTCATTTACTGACTGAAACGAAATCTCCGGCCGCCCCGCAGATTTATTCGTATATTCGCGAGTCTTGGCGTGTTCGCAATCCTGTACGCCGCCCCGAACGGCTTATTCGCTTCGAAAACAGGTTCCCGTGCAACTCGTCGACGCACGTGTTATTAAACGATACGGCGAGAAATTACGGTCCTTTCGGCGTCGCATGCATGCATTCGACACGCGTCGAAGGAGCCGGTCAGCTGAAAGGATTTCGACGGTACGCGATTACATTGAAATTACTCAATCCGATGGTAATCTGCTGAATTATACCTCGAAGTAACGTTCCGCCGAAGGCGCTTACATGAGCATATATTTGCCATATATGTGTCTGTGTGTGTGTGTGTTTGACGGGGTTCCGGGGGTTGTCGGGGGTTAAGAAGGGCCGAGGCGATGCCCTGCGCTCACGCTACGGCGCACATAAATATCCCCCTTTGGCGAACCACACATCCGCGAGGCATCCGCGCACAGGGGGTGCACAGGGGGTTGCATATAGGTGCGCACGCAGCTATGGTATGTATTATCATTTCTTACGGTCTCCAGACACGTTATCCAATCAGTCAAGCAGACTCGAGTCAAGTTAAGTCAAGTCGGGCTGTATAAGTTCGATTAAACCGCCGAGCTTTCTGCTGCTCGATTTTCGTAAGAGAATGCAACACGATATACGGAGGGGGGGGGGGGAGATTATTATCCGCGCATCCCAGCGCGGTGGATATTTCTTTCGGTTCTGGCTGGAGTTTTATTTTTATCGTTCCATAAAAAAATTCATCGATGCTAATTAATAAGCATCGGACTGATTTCAATTGTATAATCGGATAATCGACAATTAATAACTAGTGATTTATTGATTCCATTAGTCTATTATTTTACACCTGTGCAACTTGATTAATCCAGATTTGGGAGACCATTTAATTACTTGTAATTGGGAATCCAGATATGTCTGTCTGACAGACGGGGATGATCGATATCACTCTTACAATTAATTTCTACAATTAATACCTCGCTTGTGTATTTACGGTGCGAAAAAAGAAAATTATTTTCCAAATTATTTTCTCACCTAAT